CGTGCAGCAAAAAAACATGTTGGACCCCCAATGTGTGTTCCACTCCAATAAACGTTAAGAAAAGGACAAACACCCCTTAAGTGGTTGTATGCCTGTTATGTTAGACTTGTATACTGTAGCATTTTATAATTAAAATAAAAACGTTTTTTAATCAGACCCTGATCAAACATACGTGATGGAGGTATAGCAGTCGCAGCGAGTCAGACCTTCTTGCAGCATCCTTTTGCGATGTACAAGTGTTGGATTCACTCTTGACTTCACCAGCGACCACCGACACTGTGATGGCGGCGACGACGGCGACGGAGACGGCTACAGTACTAGCAGCTGATTTTTCAGACTGCTGTTCCCCTGCAGAAGCTGAACTGCCTCCAGTCTCCCTGGATCCTATTCCTATACAAGGGTCCAGCCAGTCACAGGACGTAAGTTAAATAGGAGGAGATTTTTTTTAATAACTAATTTCACATTGAAATACATGTACATGTTAGCATCTTACTGATAGGCGTTTTTTTCGGCGACGGTTATCTTTACATATTTCCGTCAATCTACTAATTTTATATTAAAATTATATTAATTTTTACATTCCTTAGTCTAGTTAATGTGGCGTTTTTATTTAAAGAATTTAATGTATAATGTGTCTCATTGCTTATACATTCAGAAGCGAGGTAAGGAGCTCGAGGTCATGCCCCCATTAAGACGAAGGACAATCAAGACTTCAGATTTGCAGAGGATGCAGTTTGAAGTTTTGCGGGAACAGAAGCGGAAACTGGTTCTACAGTGTGAACACCTAGAGCTGATGAACAAGAAGCTGAGGCGGGAGCTACAGGAATAATGTTAATTGAGATTTCGAACATATGATTACATGTGTGTTCGTATGTTCTGTTTTTGTTTGTTTGTGCGTGCTGCTGTTTCTATAGTGTGTCATGTGCCGTACAGTGATCACGATAATTAAACTACACAATGTATTAAATAATTTAAAAATTGATTTATTTTTATTATGATTTTGTTTTCCAAAGAAGTTCAAAAGGATCAGGCAGATGTTGTTTCAGCAACGTCCTCTGGTCTTGAATGCAGGATTAGACACAGAACGGTTCTCAGTCTAACCAAAATAGGTTGCTGTAATGTGGCGCCGTACTGACTGACCATCTTGATGTCCGTTGTAGACAGCATTATTCGGTGTGTCATCGGCCTCGACTGCAGCATCCAACTCAGGTTCCCCCATTGTTATCGCCAAATTGTGCAAAACGGCACAAGCACCTGTTGATTTAAAAGAAATTATTTGTATTACAGGCCTATTACCGTGATACCATAAGCAGTATCACTGTTAGGCTGATATGGACTGACGGGATGTTTCTTATTGTATTTCAGAATGGTACAAACACAACGTAGCAGAAGTTAGCCTATATTATCACTGAAGTAACGACTATGACGTCACCCGTTAATACAGTACCAGTATTATCTGTAAATACGTGGATTCCTTACTTACCTATGATAACACATACTCTTCCAGGTTTCATTCTAATTTCTCCATGCAAAACATGAAAACGTCTTTTCCATACACCAAAATCTCGCTCGATCCTGGTCCTAGTTCGTTTATGACATCCATTAAAACGTTACTGCTGGATAGAGGCTGGTTTAAGGTAAGGCGTCATTAAGTATTTTTGGCAGGCATAGCCACTGTCCCCTAATATTAAACCATCCGCCATGGTCCTGTGGTGGACCTCTAGGTATTGTTTGATATCCGACATCCGAAATATATGACTGTCATGTGTGGAACCTGGCCATCTGGCAACTATGTTTGTAAATTTCCCTGTAAACCAACGATAATCGATCTGATGACATGCTTTACGACCCAATATCACAGAAAAAGGTTAAACGGTTATTAGGGTAGCGGTTTTAAAAAGGTAGTCATTTTAAAGGAATATACATTGATTCATGATACTCTAGTAGATGAACACAACATTTTACTCAGTTACCCAGTACACATACATGTATGTTGTTACAGCTGGGTATATAGTACACACACTTGTTTTAAAAATACTTGTAGACCCCCCCCCCCCCATGATAATACCTTTGATGAGTTCGTATTTCACGGTGCCAAGGTCAAGATTTTTTTTGACATTTCCTAGTTTTTCGAAAAATATACTTGCCCTGCTTGAATCATGAGCATGACAATAAATTAAATTGAGACTATATCTCACACTGCTTCTTTTATTACCTTCATCGTCACATATTGCCTGCACGTTTATAGAATGGTATCCCTTGCGATTAACGAATGAGGGCTCGTTCTCAGATGGGGCCTGTATACGAATCTGTGTTCCGTCAATACACCCAACTACGCCGGGAAATCCACTATGCTGGTAAAAGACAGAACGAATCTTGTCTTTCTCCGCCCTGGTTGTTGGCCATCTGATGTATACTGGCACTAAGGATGCCAATGCATTAGACACATCCCGGACAACCCTCGATACTGTGGATTTGTCTACACGAATTGCATCCCCAAGCACTTGTTGGAAGGAGCCACTTGCATAGAAGCGTAGTGCTATCAAAACCTTAATCAATGAAAATGTTAATCTGTTTCAGAAACTAATTTTCGTCCCCCTTTGCTCAGCCATACAATTCGTCATATTGGTCTTTTCGTTTATCGGTCAAACCGGAACGTTTTTTAAACGTAACACATATGCAGAAATAATGAAACAGCTTCCTCACTCTCCGCTTGGCATGCAAGCGTAGGTAAATTTAAAGAAAAAGTATATTGGAAGGACATAAACTATATGATAAAAACTAGACTAAAAAAGCGATACGCAGATAAGAGGGCGGGAACCTAGAGTACTTGTGACGGGAACAGGAGCTGGGGAGGCTGGTGCGAGATATAATTCCCGCCCCTCAAAATATGGGTATGAGCAGAGACGTATATGTCTCTGGTATGAGGGAGAATCTAGTCAATTTTGGAAAAAGCAATAGCTAAGTAGGCCTATATTTTATTCACATTTAGGATACACATAAGTTGAACATTGTTTTCGACAATTTATAAGCCCGGCATTTTAAACACGGTGGTTCAAATATACCGGGAAATGAGATTGTGTGCCCCGAGTACTGTACCCATTTTTTAAACAT